TAGTATCTGCCCCTACACAATTTAGATTTGGTAGGGAGTGGGAGCAGACAATGAAGCAGACGAGATCAAACACAACTTTTCTCACAGCTGGCATACCTGTGACATTTTTAGGAGACTAAAATCCAATTAATCCTGGCATAATCAATCAGACCTCAGCCCAGAGCGTGCAGACCATCAGTGTGTGAACTGGGAGTTCAAATGAGTACCACATAAAATACTTCCATCTGGTTACAAGAACTATCTTATGCCAAGGAGATCTTCTCTAGAGATCAAAACCACCAAACCCATTCACTTTGTGTTCATAATACTTCCTGTGTTTGTTAAGTGCTGGGCACAGAGTGGTTTTGATCATCAAGAACCACTTCATAGATAAACTGGCACCCTGTAGCCAGGTGGCTAACTCATGGTTAGTGGTATCCTTTAAATTATAGAAATTAAATTTTCACAATATTAGCAATTTGATTTTAAATCCTGTATTTCACATGAGTAAGAAGTTTCAGGAGCACTTGCAATGAAGCCAAGGGAACTACGTGACTAATACTTACTCTTGTCAATGAGGAGTTAATACTGTGCCCTCAAATTAAGAACTACCTACTAACTTTTGCTGAGTTAAAGGGGGAGTCACATGGCTAAATTCCCTTGTTGCAGACTGTACATGCAGAACTGATTATTTTCAAGAAGTAGAAAGTGGAAAAGACAGAAGATATTTCTGCCATTGACAACTGCCTACATTTCAAATTTTTTCTGTAATACCAGCAGAAATGACAACACTTAGGATGAGTAGAACATTCAAGAGCCCACAGACATAGGAAGGGCAGACACTAATAAGTATTATGATGAATGTAGTCTGAATAGCTACTGTAATTTCAGTTAATACATTTAGCAAACAGTATGTCTACTGTTACTGTTAACCAGACAAAATTATTGAAATAATTTTCTGAATTATCACAATTCATTCATAATCAAACACTGTTTACCAAACGAAATACATATGCTCTTAGTAGCTGGTCAGTACTCTGTTCAGTGATGCCTATGAGTCACCCTGGTCAGTTTTTGACTGAATTATTCTAATGCACATTCCCCATGTTTCAAATGTTATGACATCTAAGCAAGAGTATTTTACATGAAGGCCTCCTTAACATCAACCAGAATGTAGAAAATAGAATTCCACTGAAATACATTATCATTACCCTTTAATGAAATGGGCTTGATGAAATCCCTCTGTGGTCCACGTATGCTTCTCGGAATCATCAGCTTGTCTGAGGACACACAAATGGGAACACTTCACATCATGGCTTAATATGCCATTCTGCCAGATCAGGCTATAATTCAAAACCCAGATCCACACCTGATGGACAAACACCTGCATAAATTTCTAGCTCATTGAATTTATTAGAGATGTTCAGAAGCAATGCTGCAGCTGAAAGGCCCAAGATAATATCAAACACAGATCAGTAAGGCTCAATTTTCAGCAAAGGGCTTGACATGTAGTGCTTTGTTCTCTGCTTGCCAAAGTCTGGCACCGACCACCACTGGTATGGATTCAGGTTCACACTCTCAAGTGGGCATTTGCATAGGCTCCATGTGAAACATCCATTTGACCCAATTCTGTAAAAATCTGATGTTTTAGGAAGACACCTCACGATACATATTCTCCTCTTCATAATTTTGTATTAGTAAATGAATGCAAGACTAAAGCAGATAGAGTATTCACAGAAGTGCAAGTCATAAACATGGTTTAGTGAGAGAGATTATTCTGGATGATGCCTCTGCATTTTGAACTTTCACTCACCTGAAAATTTACAAAGCCCAGGAGAGAAGACGTTTGTTTCCTGACTGCTGCCTTTAAAGCAGTACTAGATACATTAGAGGGCGGCAATTCTGGTCACAAGTCAATAATGACCTATAGCTGACCTTGGGTGGCTATCATAGGACAGTGAGTAGCGGAATAGGTAATCTCAGTCTAGAATTGGTTAAGTATACTGTGTGAGTCTCAGAAGCAGAAACGAATTAATGGATAGGCAGATGGTTATTTTATAGACCTTCCAAAACAGTTCTCACGATTGCTAAAGTGGATTGCCTATTTTTTTGTCAAGTAATGGAATTCCAGATGCATAGATACCCACTCTGTTCCCTTTCATAGTGGTCTAATACCTTAAAACTAAGTCCAAAATCAGCTTGAAAATAAGGGGAAAAGATGTTGCAAAACAGGAGTCTGGAGTATTTTACTGGTACAGGCAAACAAAAATTACTGTCACAAGATACAGAGATTTTGATAAGAGACAGTTGACACAATGCACTAAGATGGTGGGAAATGTAGGACAACGGGATTAGAATAGAGCCTTTCAACAACTGGAAATAACTGCTTTTAAAAGCTAGAAATACCCTTTTTCTATTGTAATGGTAGTGTGGTCATTATGAGCATGTCAACATAAACATCTTTCAGAAAGGAGAAACCAACATGGAAACATGATTGTAAGTGGTGATAAAATAAACCCCACTCCTTCCTACACATACATGTGCATTCAGGTCTGACTGCTTTTAATTTAAATATAAGAAAAGAATGGCAGTCCTCTCGGAGGAGACACAGAAAAGGAAGAAGGTCCCCCTGCTTTCCCAATGCCATGTGACTGTTTACAGATTTCATCTTTTCCCTTCCAAACTGAACTCAGAAGTCTCAGAGGCTGAAGACCACCAATGAATAAACTGAGTTGCCCATGCCTGTCAGACTGTCTGCGCTCTGCCTTTCTCATGCTGACCCTATTAGATTTGACTATTAAAAAGCAGCATTGGGCCATGTCAGCTCTTGGGTGGGGGACTGCCAAGGCACACATCCACGCTGCTGGTGTTTGAAAGATTGATAATGATCCTGTGCAACACTTTTTTTCCTTTAAACCAGGCAGTTCTGCACGGGGGTCAGTTCTGTGGTGCTACATACCTGTCTTGTAGCATGAGGTGTAAAGCTAAAATCCTGATTGCCTGTGGCCGCTAAAAATCCCAAGGCACTATTTACAAATATGCAAGCAATTACGGCAGACTGGAAGTGGCCAAACTGGTAATTCTCTTCTGCCAACATAAATCCTCCCACTGTAACTGAATGTGGATTTTTTTTTTTCATCTCACAGCATAAACTTTAAAGTCTTGCTGTAAAATGCTCATTAGTCATCAAATATCTTTATGGAGTAGCACTTGCTTTACAATAGAGGGTGAAAGGAAGTTTGTTCTATGGGTTCTGAGTCAGTGAGGATACTTCAGGATAAACGCTCCAACACATCAGTTTGCTAGAGCAGAAAATTAATAGAGATAGATTGGTTTTTAGTGGCATTTGAAACTATCTGTCTCTTCATCTACCAATAGTTCTTTTTCTCAGACTGCCTGCACTGTTGTACTTTATTCTCCTACATGCTGCTACAAGATGACACCTCGGATTTTTAAGCTTTTCCTGTTAATTAAAAGATTTGTTCCTCCCAAAAGGCTGGGAAGAAACTGACATTTTCAGTTTTAAATTTGACTCATGTTGGCATAGCTTCCAGGTGCAGAGGTTCTGCCTCTGCTTTGAACTCAGCTCCCTATGAATTTCTCTGTGTGGGAGTTTGGACTAAGGAAAATTCCATACAGCAGAAACAGAACTGTCTAGATCTCATTAGAAAATCACTCCTAAACAAATGATATAATGATATAACAATTCATGGCTTATCACTGCCTGATCTGCTCTAGAATTTAAAGGGAAAACATATATATTCCTTGGCACAACAGTTGGGTAAGAAAAGCTACATCCCTTTGATCTGCACAACCTGCTACCACCTCAGCCCCTTTTACTTCTTCCTGCATCAAGGAAAGACCAGTCAAATCACAATTTCATCCCAGAAGGATGAAATACTTGTGCTTACACCCAGTTTGAATCCATGATTTTAAGTTCATAGTGTGAAGTTGGTTGGTCCTAGTCCCTCACAGTAAGACACTGGATGCTGGGCAGGAAATGAACTCTAAAGCAGAGATGCAGATTTGACAGAGCACTTTTACTGAGCTCAGTGTCAGTTTTTTTAAATAAAGATGGAATTAAGTAGACACTTCTCTGAGAAATGTCAGCTTCAGAGAAACCCTCGTAAGCGAAGGTCTTACAGAGTTTATCAGTGGAAAGTTGTTTATAAGGTTTCCATGCATATGCTTGTTCCCACAGTTACATACTAATAAATTTTTCATCAACTTGAGGGAGAGAGATGAGAGAAACATCAAAAGGCTTACACAGCTGAAGAGCACACCACTGTCATCCACCTGGGTACTTTCATCACATATTAATATTTTACATCTTTCCTATAGGTCCCACTGAACTTTATCAAGCCAGGACTCTGATCTATACCCACAACTTCATTTTGCTTTACCTGAGATGGAAAAATGGATTTCTATCATTTGGATTAGAGAAGTCAGTGCCATTGTTTTGTTTAGTTTGGTTTATAGAAATAATTGCATCTCTTTCAGAAACAGGACAAAGAGTATTCAGCAAAAGGCACTTTGAAATTGTATTGCCTCTTTTCGAGTTCCTGTTCTGGGATCCTGATGCAGAAGAAAGCAAATTCAATAGCTTCTCAGTTTCAACAGTCTTTGGATCAGGTTTTAAAGCGTTATTCTTTACGCTCCTTCTAATACTGTGTCATACTCAGACTGCAGAGGCAAAAAGAAAGAAGTTTATGCCTTTGGCTTTACATATAGAATGGGATCTAAATTAGCATTCACTTTCAGCTTAATTCCAGTCACAGAAAGTTTTTATCATTAATAGGGGACCAAAAGGTAAGCCAAGGCATATCATTTCTCTAAATCTTATCCATACATCTCTCTGATGGAAGAACCAGTGCATACACTGCCATCAGTATGTGTAATTAGTGGCAGCATGCAAAAAGAGGTATATCCTAACGAGATGTTGGAAAAATATGTGGACCAGTTATCCATATATAGAAGTACATTAAAAAAATACTAAAGTGTGGCATGGTTATATCCGGGTGCTTCTGCTATAGAAAGCATTTGTATTACCCTTACTTCTCTGAATAAATGCAAATGACAGCCCCATTTCATTTCTTCATTCAGTCTGGAGGCCAGATGGCATTAGAATCATTTACTTCACCTTGTTGTGCTTAATTACTACAATCAACACACTATTTTCCAAATTAATCATAACAAAGTAATTTCATTAGTAACACAGCAGGCTGTTGAATTATTAGCATCATAACAGTTTGCAAACAATTAAACTTTATTTGAACCTTAAAAATTTGCAGAGTAGAACATTATTATAAGATCTAATGGCAGGATCGTACAAATCCAGAACAGAACAAATAATCAAGTAAAAGGCTGTACAATATATGAGTTACAATCACCTTTTATAAAATTCACTGTCTCACTGCTCATGGAAAGGCAAGTGCAACCTGAGCGAACAAAGAAAATAATGCAATTAGCATTTTCTACCTCTGAGTTTAAGTTGTATTAACAGAGATTTTCTTATCCAAAAAAGGTTACATCATTTACACCGATTTAAAGTAAACCATTCATTCGAACCGTTGTTCCAAGACATTTCCATGTGCGTTTCAGGACATCTTTCACGTTTTGAATGTTAAGGCAGTTTGCTTACTTCCCCTCCCCCCTTCCCCCAAGTACCAAGAAGGGAAGCCCTATGGCAGAACTACAGACAAAAGCCACTTGATTTCTTTGGTTGCCACCACCCAGGAGAGGCCGCTCTGGGCAGCCCTGACCCTCATCGCTTGGGTAAGGACTCCCTCTCCTGGAAAAAAGGCAGAAGCGGCGCGGGGCAGCACGGAGGGGGGAAGGGGACAGGGACGGGATCGGGATCCGCCTCCGCCTCCTCCCGTCCCACGAAAATTTGCTGCCACCCAGCGCCGCCGCCGCGCAGCGCAGGGCCCGGGACGGGGCCGCCCCGGCTCGGCACCGGCACCCCACGCTGAACAGAGTCTCGGCCGCAGGCACTTGGTCTCAGGGAGATGGGGGGGAGGGAGGGAGGGAGGGAGGGACGAGGTTTATCCCCCTCCCCCAAAAAAAAGTAGGTGGTGATGGTGGAGGGATTCGGAATCACGCAATTAATAAAAAGCCATTCCGGTGGGCAGATTTATGGCGCTGCCATGTTAACAAGGGAGAAGGAGCGTTTCCAGCCCTGCTATTAACGCTTCACATTCTGTACACAATCCACCGGTACGCTTGACAAATTAAAGTAGTAAAAGATCTGAAGACTATAATCTATCATTTTAATGCTTTGCTGATAACGCACCGGATCCATTTCAATGACTATCTCTTTTTAAAAAATTAAAACAAAACTCCGTACCCTGTTTGACGTCTATTAGAATCCAGTGTACCAGCAAGGACCATACATTACCTAACACAAAGCACAACATCTTACTTTACTGAAAGGATCAGAATTCCCAGTTCAGACTAACATTCCCTTTTAACCCACACTGTTCTCAGGGTCCGCCTCAAGCGTAAACAGCGCAAGCAACTACATGGGGACCTGCACAGGCTCAGCAACTCGCAGACTGGCCTGATCTGCCTCCTTGGCAGATTAAGGGTCTCACAAATCAACTGTGTGGGAAGGTTCAAAAAAGTGGATCTTGCATGCTAATGGCAGAGCACATCTCCAAAGCAAGAGTATTTAAAGTATTAACTCTGACTTGCCCAAACCCCTTGTCCATACGTGGTAGTATTTCAGCGTATTTTTACATTTCAACCAACGCTTTCAGCCACGAAGTTCTGGATTTGACAGCAAGACTGCAGGAACTAATCCACATAGTGCTGATGATCTGCTGCACAACTTGTATCAGAATTCCAAGGTATCCAGATTTGACTCTGCAGAAGTATCTGTAAGGTACAGATAAAATATTCCACTCTACCATGGACAAAAATATGTTTTACCTGCAATTTAGCTCATGTTGACTTAGCAAAAATTGTGGGGTTTAATATATTTTCACAAATTTTCATGGAATTCCATCTTCAAGTCAGAAGGGTATCCACACAGGCCAAATTATTACATCAGCAAAAGAACCAAGCCTTCATTGTGTGTCAACAAAATAGTAATTAACAATACAATACTAAATGTGTGAGAAAAATAAATCATTACCTAAAACCTAACATAAGAAAACATTTGCAAACAGAGTACCCTAAAGACTTGCAATATTACACATAAATTTCCCTCGATTTTCCAGTGAAACTGCACAAGATGTACATTGAGCATTAAGAGGTTAATGCATGCATGAACTGAGTAATAGTTTACCCTCAAAGTTCAGCTTAATTTTTCTAAATCTGAGGAACAGGAAAAGATAGTAGAATTCTCTGAAAGAACACAAACCTACAGCTATACATAAACAGCTAGCATGTTAAGGAGCAACAGGCACTATATGGCTGCTTGTGCCCCATATGTTAATTACCATCTATTTCATTTCCGATCATTACAATTCTATAAAAAGTGACTAAGAGGAACATTTCCTTAGAATTATGATCAATTACATTTATAATGTTTAATATACACAAGGCAACGATCTGACTACATTCACTGAAACCACAAAACGTGTACAGCAGAATCTTCCTTCAGAGGCTGGGTCTGTAAACTGCAGCTGCACACCACTCCTGATTTCAAGTGCAGATTTCTTCTGATTAGGGAGAGGGAAGTTGAAAGTTCATCCTTAACCAAAAAACCTCAAACACGCATATCAAACCGAGTCCAAGTATCTATCCCCTTCCACAGTTTTCTGCACAGAGAGATACATATATATTACTAAAGTAACAAAACTAACTAGAAACAGCACCAATTTTATTTTAAATAAATTTGCTAAAGGAGCATAGTTATTAAATATATCATCCTTTGTATACTGTGGTTTAATATTTCATACAGAATCCCAGAAAAAAAGTATTTTAATTGAACCTTCAATATATTTTGCCATAATCTTTATGTTAACAGGACTCCTACAAAGGTTCCAGGAAAGACATACTTATGAAACAGAGAACAAGGGAACATAGAAGCCATTACAGAAGATTGGATTAAAATGTACTTACCCAGGCCTCTCAAATATCATACATCTCCATTATGTAGGCTTTAGGCACCAAGCCAACGGTTCCCTTCATTTCTCCTACCCACCAGCCATATTCATCGTACTCCTAATTGAAAACAATATGCAGTATTAACCTTTAGTCTGATATAAATGCAATAGAGTTTTGTATGCAACTCCTTATGGATGCTTTGTCTTATATACAGCTATAACCATTTTAACTCAAAATTAAAACATTATATCTTTTTGTTATACGCATTCACATGCAGAGTTAGGCAAAGGCAGAAGCTAAATTTTAAAAAGGCCAGGCATACTCAGGAAAATTTCTTAATTATGGCCACACTTTCTCTAACACCTACTAAAAATATCCTCTCTTCATCACAAATAAAAAAACCTTAACTTTGTAACTAAAATCTAATAGCACAACACTGACATATAAGAATCAATGGGGGATTCTTTCAGTATGACAAGGTTAAACTCAAACTTACAATCAACTTATTTTAAAAACTACTTTGCTCAAACGTGAAGGGAACACTACATATCTAATACATAATCTTTCTACGGACAAAGTCTACTATTGCTTTAGGTTTGCAGAAATTCTGTGGCAGATCTCATATGCCTGACAGATGACTAATGTACTTTTGTTTGAAATTTGTTTAGGCTTAGTGAGATAAATATGAAACAAAATGAATTATAATAGTTTAAAGAAATAATATCTTCCAAAAGCAATACCAAGTAAGAGTATTGTGGTATCCAAATTTAATTTTTTCCTATGAGATAAATATTTTAAGATCAATCCTAACAGTGGTTCAATAAATTTTAACAGCTGAAATTGCACACACACATATATTGAGTTACAAATGAAGTATTATTAAAACAGAGACCCCACTGAAAACTGAATGTTTTGTAAGATAGAAATTACTTTGGAACAAACATGAAAAATACAAAATACACAGATATCTCTGATAAGCAGTGTCTGCTTCCCACTACACTGTTCTTGTGATGAGAAGATAAAAGGCTGTAAGATTTTGAATTACTGGTCCTACTGAGATAAAGCTATTATTTTGACTGTAGATAAAGTTTTTTGGTTATAAATAGTCAAGTGGAGCTTAAGGGTTAATGGAGTTTCATTAGAGCCTGAGCTATAATGATTTGCTGCTGGCATATTTTGCCTGGTCAAGAGTTCTCTGGGGTCCTATGAGGTGCTTAGTGTACTCAGCTCTCCCTGTGCTTTAACTACGATGAAGCCCTGCTGATGGCCCATCTTCACGTGAGCCCTGGCTTTTTTTTGCTTTTTGTTTTTGCCATTTTTTTTAAAACGCTTGCATGCAGGCACACACACACTAATTGTGGATGGCTAAACACTAGTCTTATATTAAACATTTTCCTCCTTCTCTTAACAATGAATTGGTGATTTGAAAGATTCTATCCTGCTATCCATAAAATACTGCAGCAAGTGTGATTTAAAGGAAACTCGCATAAAAAGCAGCAGGAACACCTTTATTTATGATGTGAACATGCAAATGAGAAAGTTTAAAAAATAATTCCACCATTCCACTGCAGGTCAGTGCTGGGGATGGGTCTGGTCTTGAAAGTCTAGAGGTAGCTATCTGAATCTGATCTTCAGTGCACACTGCTCTCTACAGAAGTTAAGAACTGCTCATAACCCTTCTCATGGGGCTTCACATTACACCCCAAATCCTTAAAGGCAAAACAATACCCTGACACTGAGGTTTTTAATGTTCCAGATCAGCCTGTTTAAAAAAAAAAATCTATGCTTTATCTTGCAATACACTATTTAAATATACAAACCGGATTTCAAGACTGCAGTGGGAAATTGCTGAAAGGAGCGGCACTCACGTATACTACTGGAATCTCAGAAATAAATCTCTCCAAGAGTAAGCAACAAAAGATTTTAAGCTGCTACATGGAATACACGAAGTGACTGACAAGAGTGATTAAGCAAGTTTTGCTAGACATCAGCCAAAAAAACAAACAATACATGAAATGAGGGAAGTGGCTCAGTTAAGCGGTCATTAAACTGCATATGACAAATGGCACAGAAAAAGCCTGTGGATTACATTACCCATTGAAAAAGTTCCACTTAGCAACACTACATGAACTTAGAAACAATTGTTTTTAAAGAAACAATTCAGATACCTCAAATTAAAATTAAAAGCATGCTGCTGTTTTGAAAACTTTCTGGTTTTTGCTACTTACTAATACACCACTTACTGCTCTGGCATGAAACTAAGTGAGAAGATGAAATGAATGTTGATGTAACAGACTAGTAAACTAATTTAAGGATTCACTGCAACCATTATACCATACAGACAATATTGCAATACAGAAGCTTTTACTTTACATTACTATTCTTCGCATGGGTCTCAAGAGCAACATGAATCCCAATTAAACTATCTGCTGTCTATACAAGTCTGAAAAATACAATGGAGATACCTGGCTACCAAGAACATAAAACTTTAATCTCAGTTTTAGAATAATTAGAAAGCACTCCCTTTTAAACTGATTAAAGTACAGACATTTCTCTTTAAACTCCTAACCACTCCTTCCTGTCCTCAGTACCACAAGAGTGCTTAACTAGTGAGGCAGATAAGCAGCCCCCTAGTCCTTTCTTGAAGTCACGCATAAAATCCAAACTGATCTATTGTTTCTATCAATGTTATCAATTATAAACTCCCTCACAGCAATATAATTTAATTAATACACTGCTGTTGTGAGGTCCATATGTCTATTATTGCTGGTTAAGATGTGTAGAATGAAAGTCTACAGTCTACATTTGTGGGAAATAATGATTAATATGCAGAAGCACTAATATGCAGAAGTTAAGAGTTTTATAAAAATAAAAGTTGGGAAGCACGGTGCTTTTGCAAGCATCAGTTTCAGATCTCAGGTACCACTGGGTTTACCATCTGGTATCCCTCACTGCATTCAGCTCTTAACTGCTAACATAGGCAAGCAACTATACTTCAGAAGGACTGATAAAATAATGAAGAGTCCTTTAATCTACAGGAAACCATTGTAGTCAATTTATAAGAAATATTGCATCCCTTTGTAGGATGTGTAATTATTTTCTATTAATCATGTGCTATAAAGCTACATTATGTGGTTATTCTGTTATCACTAGAAAGAGGCCTGCAGTCAGCTCCTGACAATGTTAGGTAATTACTAACACAAAGCTTCTTTCTCCTTATGTAGAAACGCTATCAAGATCCAGAGGTGCTGTGATGCTCGCTGTATGAAAATAACTCTCCAAAGAAATTCAATAACTGCAAAATGAATTGCTCCAAGGCAAACAGAGGGATAGGAGAGGGGGGCAGGGCCAGATCCAGCCGCCCTGCAATGAGGAGAATGCACAAGTGTGCGGCCACGCTCTGCCATGTGACAGGGAGCACATTTGCCATACCAGGCAATGTTAGCAGGGCTGGGGGGAGGAGGGGGCCACCACAATCCCTGGAAGACAAGCACCAGGGCAATGGAATATATTATGCCCAATAATATGAAACAACAACCTTACCAAATGAGCAAATGCTTTCTAAGCTACTTCTGCAATTCCACTGTCATAGAGTGGCTTATTTTTTTAACTCGCAGAAATTTATTAACCAAAGTGAAGTAATTTCACAGAGCAGCAAGGAACAGGTTATGACTTAACATGCTGGCAAAACATTCTCTGTACAGCATGCTTTGATAGCAGGGGGGAAAATCCCATCAGGGTTTACAGTTTCCTTAAATGCTTTCAACTCAACAGTGTGAGCAGGCACTTCTCCTTGTCCCCATCCCACCAGTTTCACTGCACTGATGTGTATGCACCCATGACTCCAGGAGAAACTGCTCATAAAAGCTTTTGCACTGGGGAAAGCACAGTAGTTAGAAATGCACTGTTTTCTACAGATATCTTTTAAATCCAAGATTTTAGTCCTCTATAGAATACAATTCTGACATGCAAAAAGAGAAAATTTCCAATACAGTCTCTACCTTTAGAACAGATCCTCTGCCTAAATTAGGTTCTCCAGATGTTTTGCACCATATTAACTTCTACTGACTTCAGCAAAAGTTGAGAACATCTGGTTCTTGTAAAATTAGTCCCCATTGTTAAATACATATGGTATGGTTTTTCATATTTGTGGAGTGGGTTTTTTTATTTGTTTTGTTTTTTAAGAAGAGTTGCTGAAAATCATCATTGTATTTCAATGCCTTGAAGAAAACAATGCAGTGGTATTTTTAAAAAAAAACACAACTGAAGTGGGTGAATTCAACATTTTTCTCCTTCCCTCTTCCAGTGGAGTTGTGAGTAATATTCACTGAATACCTGCAAACCTTAAAACTCAAAAGCAAAAGATATCTATAGCCTTCTTTGAGGTTAAAATAAGTAGCCTTTACTATCAAGCTAAATATGTGTGGGAAGCAGAGAAAAATTTCAAAGAATATCCTGGGGGGCAATTTTGGCAAGAAAATATTTTAAAACATCTCTAATTCATCCAGGAGATTCATACTAGCTAAAAAGTTTTAGAACTTCCTTTGGTGTAATTGTTGAATGATACACTATCAACTAGGGAGCAGTTTTGGCACAGAACAGCGTTTTCTCTAAAAAGCAGAGAATGACAAATGCTTTAGGTAAGTGAATGAGACTTCTTCACAGGTAGTAGAGTTGTTTTAAGACAGCAATAAAATGGTCATCTTTAAAAATATAAGCCTCAGATTTATTGTATGGTTGCATTATTAAGTTTTATTTCCCACAATAACATGAGACAAAATAGACACCAATTAAAGATTTCCAATATAAATCATGGTAAGCAGACTGAATTCTGAACCAAAAGTGTCCTCAGAAAACACCTTGGAACAATAAAAAGGCCATTTTACTTTCCATTAGATGACCCAAGGCCAAATTTTTTTCTAATCAGGTAGGTAAAGGCTTAAATATGATCAGTATGCAATCCAGCAGACCTAGAGCCACTTGGCATTAGTCTTAACTAACCCTCTATCTAAAGGCCTTCAGTTTTATCTTGTGTTTAGACATGTATTTATTCACCTTCCCTCCCATGAGGAATACACCTAAACAAGCCAGAGAAAGGGTAATATACAACTTCAGTGTAGCATTTGAGTTTTGATCTGAAGCATCCCACTCAAGTGAATCTCCCAATGCTCCCACTTTCCCCACATTGGCTAACTTTGCAGAGCACACACACTACATTTATTTGAGAATAAAATGGAAGATACAATTGAACGTACTCTAACCACTAATTTGTTCTCATTCCACAAAACAACGCTAGACCTCTTCAGACATCAAGCAGCTTTCAGAAAGTGTTTTGTGGACACCAGGGCCTCAAGCACTAAGTGTTTCACTCTGCAAATCTGCTCCTATTGGTATTCCCTATTTGCTAGGGGAGTCACAGGCAGTATGGTCATGGAAACAGAAATTACCCTTAAATACAGATCTCAGTATGCTCAGCCAGAAAACAGCCTGACTAAAGAAACACTCAGGATTTTAGTATGCCTTTGATATCTTTTTGAAAAAATACTGAATAAATACATTTTATTAAGCTTATACAGATAGTGTACAAAATGCTCAGTGATTCTGAAACAGCTGCATTATTAAGTTGCACTTTATTTCATAAGCAGTAACCTGAGCTATGGAGATTCTTTGTTTGTTTTTTCAATAAGTAAAAAATACAGGTTGAGATGTGAGCATTTTAACAGACATTTATTGCATTGAAAGAACAAAAATCTGCCATGCTGGAAACCTACAATCACTGAATAAAAGGTAATCTAAACACCAAATTAATGCTCTACTTTCATAAAAAATTCTAGAGCAAAAGGTTAAGTCGCAGATGAGATTTCCATGACTCATAAATATCAGAGTGAACAGCACTGGCATGTAATGAAATAATAACAGGTAAGGAGAATTCCAGTTTGAGATATAATTTCTGATTTTTAAATTATTTGCTATTTTAATAAAAATATAAAAAAATGGATATTAAATTAGCTTTAAAGTAAAGAAATGTCTGTAATTTTACTAAGCAGGTGCCTGCTAACATCTAGGTAAATTTTCATTACTACTTGCTTTTGGCCAATGAGAAATTATGGAATTTCACAACACAAAACATACACCAAAAGCAAACAAACCCTTACTGCTAGTGCTGCACTTGCATAAATTGTGCATACGAAACTTAGGAAAAAGATTAGAGCTACCTCCATTCACAGTTATCTTTGTTTCTGGAAATTGATTTCTTGAGTAGAGCTATGGAAGATTTATAAAAATGATTGCTATATCATGGTCTGTTTCCCCATTTATCACATGGGCTTGAAAGCAAAGGCAAGCCCATAATTGAGCAGGAGTTAAGAGCAATTATCCTTTCAGCAAACAGGACTCCAAAGTGTTACATTTCTAATAGTCAATATTAACTAAAAAATGTTATTAAAGAGTCCCTTTATCATTAGAACTATAAAGTATTTTTTTACTGTGTAATGGAATAGGGGTATATAGTTTTCTGAAAGTTCACATCATTCATAGTATAAGTGATAAAAGACACTTGAATATTCAAGGTACTATAAATTAATAATAATAATATATCTGTACAGATACATTGATCAATTAATCTGAAAAGTTAACTACTTTTTTAAATAAGAAAAGTTAACCAGTAGTTAACTGAGAATAGTCCTGTTAATTCTGCTCAGATTAAAAACTCAACTTTTGAGAGAAACTCTCAAACCTAGACAAAAGTTGGGAGTGGTTTTATTGGTTTTCTTGTTGGTTTGGGGGTTTTTCTTGTAAAAAAAAAAGGTAGTTTTTGAATGTACCTTTAAAACAAGAAAAACATGCTCTTCTACAGTAATTACACTAATCGGGCACAGGTATCTCTGTTGTCAGAGTATGAGCTCATGCTCATTGAACTAACATTGAATTCTGATGCTCAGTTTAAAGCAAATTATGGGGGACTTGTCTTTGCAGAATGCTTAGCTATTTTAAGAAGTAAACACTGCCAAATTGAAACCATGCTCATTTTTCTAAAAGGCATTCACCTAGAAACTTACATGTAGCATATTGCTCCTCTTGCTTTATTTAAACTCTATAAATGCTAAAATTTGCTAAACCGATTCATAATTATTTCTGTTGTACTAATGATCTCTCTTCTTGGAAACATAATAGTCACTTTTCCCCTAATTTCTATAAAGGTATGTGAAAAGCTGGTAAAAATATATTGCTTTGGCATAACTATTTCTGGGAGAGATGAATATCTATCTTATCACATTCATCAGAGCATTTACATTTCACTGTAAAACAAAGAACTATTACATGTTGCACAAATATGCTCGATATTTTGCTAATGCTTCACCCTTCCTATAGTAATGTTATAACATTACTATACCCCTACTTACTTCCTTACCAGCAAAATGTGATTTTCAAGAGCAATGTTCATACGTGGCTGACATATGATAGAAAGGCAATAAATCCATAGCTAGGTTCAGCTGAAGCTGAATTTATGACACCATTTTGGATCCATACACATAACCCTCTGTCAGTACCTGCATCTCTCATTTTCAACCACTAGATGGTGTGAAAAAATAAAAAAATTGCCTAGGATGCCTGCCGACTGCCACAAAATCCAAGTATTAATGTAGTGGATTAAGAAATATTTTAAAAGAAAAGTCTTGACCCGCCTCAGGGTGGCTAGGCTCACTTTTCCTTTGGTTATATTTTCACTTACCAAACAAAGAGCTCATAAATGATCAGACCTTGAAACTGAATCAAGTGGAAGGTTAAGATGGATAATTCTCTGGCACTTTGCCCTCCGAGGACCCTAAATTCCAAGCTGACAGTAGTGGCCAACACTCATTTTTCCGAAAAAGCTGTAACAATCTTTAAGCGAAACAGGGCCAAATTTTCTGGGCTATATTTTGGAGTGGAAATCAATCCAGAGAGAGAAAATCTATATATCTGGAGCAGCAGCAAGCCTGTTTCAAGGACCGATTATGGATTAATCACGGCATGGCAACAAGTCAGTTGATATACACACGACAGCTTAAGCTACTGTTTTTTTTATTCTGCTCCATTTTTTAAATTAAATTCCTCACATTTTTGGGGAAGGAGTAGCAAACAATTTTTTTCACCTACAAGATGAAGATTGAGATTTTATAGTCCCCATACTGTACCCAGAGAGCACAACCCACAAAGAGGCCAAGCCCATGCAGTGGAATCCATTCGCTCATGGGCTATTTTGGGGGAGGAAGAGAGGTAAGAGGTCGTTCTTTTAAATTAGAACAATTCTTTAGTGCTGAATAACTGATGGAAAGTTTGCCCAATCCAAGAGTGTTATTCAGCCTTTAGTAATGCAATTCAGTTATTAGCTTAAGTGATGATGAAATACCTCAAAAGACATACATGGTCAAATTAGATTTAGTAATATATCTTCCATATTCTTATATAGGACTATCATTCTATCCATAAATCTTAAATTTATTTAAAACAGAAGTTGTTACATTTATTATCCAGAAACATACTTAAAGGTATCACAGAAGATTTAAAGCAATTGTGACAAAACTTAAGAGTTTGAAACTAAGACAAATTAAGTCTTTAGCTTTCATGCACCTACTTGTATATTTCAATGTCCTACAATATTTTTGGTACTAATTACCCTGAATGGCAATTAGATCTATATTCTACACATGTTTTTAAAGGTAGTTTTTCTCAATGAGAACTTTAAAAGCTCAGGGTTTTTTCTAACACATGGGGAAGAGAAATTTCCTTTGATTAATTTTTCAGAAGTAGACTTCAATGGACCATGAGATATATATTTTAGGAGAGGTTTTGTTTTTGTTAGAGAGGTTAAGGAAATTAAGCAAATTAACCAACATTAATGCAGAATAAAATTTCATGTTTATACTTCATGCTTGTATTTCATGCTTAGTGTCTATTCAGATTAAAGGAATAGTATTTCTCATTTGCTTTGCAAACAGGAAAGTTTGCAATTAAAAATTGCCCAAATCTGTCAGAGCAAACAAATTTGGAATCTGAGCTGTCAGAACAATTACAGTTTACATACAAAGATGAAAGCATAGTTCAAAAAAGCACATCTTCTGCAGCAAGATCCCAAAAAAGAGTCAGAATTAGCACAGTCAGGAATATAAAACAGGAAACAAAAAGCATAACATACAAGATAACTTAGAATTCTACAAGATTAACTTCTGCAAGCAGAAAGCACATTGTCTCCTGTTAAATCAGTTAACAAATGGTAGCCAAGATTTAACAAGTAAATAAACATGCTTTTAAGTTAATTCCTGTTACACAGCTATGTTTTAAATGTGGTTATAGTTCATTTGACAAAATAATTAATTGCAGTGAATATCTGATTGCAAACAAAGGATCTGAAAGGGAGTGCCAATTTCCCCCCATAGAACTGTGGGAATGTGTCCTTCTGCCATGGCTCTCTTTTTACAACTATGTAGTCCCAGCAGTACCTCCTACCTTGCTGAGAATGTAGATAACGTCACCCCGTTTAAATGTCAACTCATCAGGTACATCTCCTGTGCAGTCCCACAAACCTAGATAGAAATTGGCATAATCGATATTTTCGCTATCTGCAAAGAAAACAGCATCTAATTAGAAAAGGATAAAGACTGTGGGAACTAAAGTTACACTTTAAATCTCCAGATAGTACTATGCAATTTATTAGCACACATTTCTTACTCCTTTTTTTTAGAAACATCTCCTTCATACCACAGAAGCAAGTAGAAAACAAGTTTAATGTGCAAGCCCTTCACTGGCAAGTTGCATCACTGAGAAACATGTAGCTACAGGTTTTCAAAGCATTTTCCAGCTGCAACTTAATGCACCTAGTTTTCCTCTACTAGTACATTTCTAGGAAGCCACATATGTATCTCTACTTGAAACTGATAAAATTGTTAGAACATAATTAATAATATTCTGTGAAAGGAAGCCAAAGTAACTATTTTGTGATACAATCCCCCTCCTTCTCCTGTTCCAACAAAATTAAAGAGCTTCTCTGAGAACCTTTGAGATAATCCTTGATTGTTCCTTGTGAAATATTAGAGAACTTGGAAACTGTTGCTGAAGTTGCATTTCAAAAATATTTGTGTCAGCTCCAGTTTAGGACATTAAGCTCTGGCTAAACATGCAACTACACTACAGTCATAAACTCATCCTTCTAACAGCATAAGCACAATGGATGTGCTGTGTTCAAGCTGCCATACAGACCATTAACTGATTGATTATTTAGCACTCTTTGCTCTGTAATACGGCAATAACACAGTAATAAATGCTTTGTCATACATTTACAATACAGAGTACATCTATTGAAACACAGCGCTCACACACAGTTAAATACACTGGGTGCTTCTGTTACACTGCAAACTATTTCCTGTTTTTAATTCCATGAGAATGGAGTGTGATGAGTTAATGCAAAAAGAATGCAAGCAATACCACTAAGATGACCAGTTACATTATGTATACACTAACCAGACAGAATGTATATGTACTAATAATTTACATCACTGGAAAGCTATCTTCTAATTCTGATAACATAAATATCACTGAACTGGCTGGATCAAGGCTGTCATCTTAGTTTTGTTATATGATCCTTGAACAGCAGGCTTGCTGGGTATTCCAACATATACCAGTTACATTTGCATGTCGTTAGCACTCTACACCATTATTTATAGTTTACAATTTAATCATGATTGGTTCACTTTATTACCAAAAAAATCCTGTTAAAATATCAAGTATCAAGTGATAGAAAGCGTCACGCTATAAAAAAACCAGCAGTATTCAACTTGTGCTCTTCCCTATTTTGGCAAATACTTAAGATCTGAATTTTAATAAACTGTATGAGCAAGAAGAGTTTGTTTTCTATTTCTCCATTTCAATCTGTGTTCTGTGCTATTTTATTTGGATGGCAATACTGTCATAAAGCTAAATATTCACAACCTTGAATTTAAAGCTGCAATGCCAATTACCCACCATTTAATTTTCCATAAACTGGTGATTAGGAGCTACGACTTCCTATGCAGCACTAGGGGGCGTTCTGGCTGCCAGTGCCTGAATTCTTCCGTCCTCACCCCAAAAGCAGCAACTAGATACACGTATAAAACTCCCAACCACTCAGAAATATGAGATTTGGTTACTCTAAAATGCCTAGACATTATCATTTCAAGAGGAAAGCAGAATCAGTTTGAAATGCTGCTCCTCCAAATTTTGGCCCTTCCTAATTTTTAGTCCATTATTTACCAATTTAGCATTAGACAATTACAAACAGTAACACAGGTTAGCGAGAAATTAAATTGTGATAAATATTAAATCAGAATCTCTCCTCCATCTTTCGATATCATACTGATCACAGTTCCCAACCCTTATCTTGTGAAAGATAACATAAAGCCCACATGAGTATAAACTATAAAAGCTATTTCAGTATATCCTGCCTTTCAAATCTTTGAGCAGTTAGCTCATTGATGTGGTTTAAAATACATTAATCAGGATTTTTACTTCTTCAGAACAGCACTGAAAGAAATCAAGAAATCATGCTGACCTTTACCGCTTTGAGCTCTGTTCTTACCTTTGTGTGCCTGAATTAACTCCTCTTAACACTAATGGGAGATGCAACAGAAGAGACACTACAGAGGGTGAGACACATCTCTCCCTGCATGTTCATCATGAGCATTTAATTGACTCTTAAAGTGGGAAAGCAAATCAGCTACGAGCATGGCAACACCAGAAAAGATGCATTTTAAAATAAGCTTATTGCAACAATGGATATTGACCACAGACTAACCAGGGCTCTGTGCCCTCATTTGTGAATTCAGCATAAGCCAGGGTCATTTAAATCAGAAAGCCACATTTTTCAGAACATATACCAGTACATCAGGAGCACAGAAACAAAAAACAGGGAAAGAAAGTGGCAGTGTAAGTTTGCAAACAACTATGCTGGTCTTCCAAGAAGTGTTAATTTCAAATTTAAAAACCTCTCTCATGCCCATCAGCACAAATTTCTCCAAACTGTGCAAGGGCAACTACACACAAATAAAAGATAATTGTAAATGCAACTTCAGATTTTATACATCTTAGGTGAATAATGCTTCATAATGTGATTCATAGTGCCTCACAAACAGAGGTGTAGAATGAAAAAAAGTTGCAAAAACCTCTGCAAAACAGGAGCCCATTCTTTCTTACTTCAGTCCCTCTTTCAGTTTGAGAGGACCCTGACAAATTTCATTTTATTGCCTCTGAAGAATGGTATAAAACAAAACCAGGGGGCCTGCATAAAGGAATTTGTTATTTATATGGTAATGAAATAATGTGGAGCTTCTTAAACACAGGTAATACCTGAAAGCAGATGGATTTAGCATCAAGAACTTATGTGCTCATTAGAGTTCAAATTCAAAAGGTATTGATTTCTCTGTCACAATTACACTCTATTCTCATATACTATGAAATGTCACGTGCCTTAAAAATACTATGATGACATAATGGCTAAACTAAAGTCTGTCATATTTTAAAGTTTCTGTCACTTAGGCCACAAATACAAATAAGACATGATTAAAAAAAAGTTAAGTGTGTGGCAGAGGCAGAAAGCAGTTTGCATTTACCTACCCACTGCTTTTAAGATTACCAGTGACAAGAAATGGGTGAGCAAGATTTTGGATAGGTTTTTTCTTCCAAAAATACTTCTTTTATTCTAGGACAGCTATCTGGATGAACTACTATCCAACAGTTTCCAATACTCTTCCAAAAAGAATTCCTCATGGTTTTCTTCTGCCATCTCTGTTTTTCCAGTAACAGTATTAGGAACAATAGATATTTTTGTCCGATATACTGATGAAAACACTTCAGAGTTTGACAGATCAAAAGGCAGTGCTGCCAGTCTCTTTGACAGTAGTCTCAGACTGCTTATTTCACTGAAAAACGCTGGCATATGACAACACATCCTTGTAGAAAGAAAGGTGAACAGTTCAGGTAAAAAAAAATCTGACAAATATATCACTCAAGCATGCAACACAAATATTACTGTTTAAAACTTAAGAATGCCCATGGATTCTTCAAGGGGAAAAAATTATAATACTATTCTAAAAACTACAATAGCCATGGGGAGAAAAAACATGAAAAAAATATGAAAATGTACTACCTAAAACATTAGAATAAATGTGACTGTGCCTAATTTCCATTAGTCTTCCATTTCAACACTGATGGAATCTAAGTTAGCAAACCCTACTATAGTAGTGATTTAAAGCTAGTAATTATATTATTTGCCTATGCATCACTTGTGGAATAAAGGAATACAGATGTATGCTTTCCTTTCACAACCCTGGTCAACTGCCTAGTATATTAAACAGCTGGCCATTCTGACTCATATTTTTCAAATCATTAATTAATAAGATTCTTCAAAAGTTAATAGCACCAGATTTGAAGATTACTTAACAATATTTGAAAAATACACATTGTATTCCCTTTTATTAATGATGTGCTCAATATTTACCAAACTGAAGGTTTAAAGATGGAGATACAGGTGAAGTTCAAAATTAATGCTACCAGAATGAGTGACTCTCAGTGTTGAGTCTCAATGCCCAGACAAGACAAACCCTGTTAAGGAACATTGGTATTTGTTAGTTCTGATGATGTCCTAAACTGCAAAAAATGCCTTACTTGCCCTTTATCCCACAGGCCAGAAAAGTTAGGAAATAAGGGAAAAATAATTATAGTGTATTTATTTGAATTCAAACTCTAATTTAGCCCAACCTGTTCAGTATTATCTTTCTCTTACTGCTCCTTAGTTAGTCTAAAATCAAGATATTTACACTGATACAGCACAATACATGACACTTCTTGAAACAGTGATTGTGGAAAAGATAATGGGTAGATAGTCATAGCAAGAAAGACCAAGCAAGCCATAAATGAAACTCTTCAATGCTTTGGTATTTTTTAAGTAATTAGGTCACTACCAATTAATGTAAAGCTACCCAGCAGCAACAGTCTGCATCAAGAGCGACAGAATAAGAACTCAAGTCTGCCAGTTAATTGAAGCAGAAATGTGTTAGAGCAAGAAAAGAGTAGGAAAAAAAGAAACCTTTTTTTGTACTTATCAGCCTGAGCTCACAGGCAATTTACAGAATATTTTCTGTGGAGTTCAGGTTTAGTAAAATTAAGCAATAAATTAAATTTAAGAATTTATGCCCTGTTTGTGTGGACAATCATAAAATATTCTTGAGTCAAATCAGATACTTATGATGTGATGCCCATCAGAAATAGTCATGTCAACTCAGCCCTAAAGTCAAAACAATTACTAGTATTAAATAGTGAACTATGTAAGATCAGATGAGAAAGTTATTGCTTGGAATGAATCTGATATCTGGGGGGAACTGCTCTGGTATTTTCAAATACATTACAAAAATACTAGTAAGATTGACAGGGCTGTTCTCATAGTAGTTAAAACTTTTCAAAACTGTAGATGCTAAGGTTTTGGTTTCTTAAAAGTATGACCAATTAGAACTTCAGGAAGATACATTAGTGAAAAAAAACCAATGCTGTTGGCAACTTTATAATTGGATTGACCCCACGCTCCATTATGACAACACACTCTTATAATTACAGTAATGTCTAAATGAGTACTAGATATTAAGGCTGTAATGAGTCATGTTGTTTTACACATGTTTTTAGCACAGCATAATGCTAACAGCATCTGATGACTTGGCTCCTGTTTCCTTTCCAAGAAAAGCAACCCAAAACTCCTCACAGCAACCTGTTCCTGCTTTCCTGTATGGGTCAGGAAATCAGGCCTCTGTTTCCTCTCCACATGTTGCAACAGGAAGAGCACTGCAGAGCTACTTCCTAAAGGAACTCTTCTTGCCCACCCCTTCCTTGACAGCCCTGAAAGAATTATGTGTATTATGTACGATGGGGGAAGGAGAGCCAGATTGCATGTCAGTGCAGGTCACAGTTACAATGCAGCAGATCTCAAAAAGGTGTAAGGTCTGATAAGGAGCAGTCTTCTCTACTTGCTGTGTCAAATCACCAATAGTTTATCTAAAGGTCTGTGCCCTTGAAACACAAATATATCTTGTTTTTAAGCATAACTGGAAATACCTTTCTGTCAAGAAAAGTTGTCTGGCCATATGACTTTACATGGTGTATGCAGTTATTTTTCCAGTCCCAGAGATAATTAGCACAAGGGCAGTTTGCCAAGCTAAAGCTGAGAGAATATCCTTCACAGCCTTTCTGGGCATTTGTGTCCTTTTCCAATTTTTATGCTGCTGTCACTGGACTCTGGCATTTCTTACCCAATTCATTTGCTTTCTGTGGTAATCATATGCAATGAAGATATGCATGGCCAACATTTAAACAGGCTGCAGATCAATTAGTGGTCTTAAGTTTATCTGATTTTTATCAAAGAAGACAGAGCTTTGGGTCGATTGTCAGAGCCTGTGTCAAGTTGACCTTTTCAGAGATGTCTACATTGCCAGTCCCTTGGGCAACTTGTTGTCCCCTGTTAGTCTCTGAATGGCAGAAGTCTGTTCTGCTCAAGCACAAAGTATACACAGATGTCTATATTACATTCTTATAGGTTTGACAGCAACTGCATGTTGTATCTATAAACTGTCCTTTAGCAGTGACACTTCCTCAATGATGATAAGCTAATTTATGCAACTAAATCTCCTTTGTGCAGAAATGAAAGCTAATTGAGTCATTACAAAGTAATTCAGGAAGGAATACCTTGTATAAATTGGCTTACTTTATAAATCCTTCTCAAGTGGTTTTCATGCATCCTAAGTGGTGCTAAGCAGTTTTGCTGCCATCACATACTCGGGTAAAAAGGCAGCTTTATAGAGCTATAAAAACATTATTTTAAAACAGCAAATGGAAGAGACAAGAAAACAAAGGTTAAAAGAAAGAGCATATGCAAAATAAAGAAGAAAGGTTTTAAATACCTGAATCCGTGGTAACATCCTCCTGGCTCTCTTTTCTTGGCACTTCAGCATTTGAAGGAACCCGTTCTTCTGCAAAACACATAACTGCAGATGAAACTCTGAAGGGACACCTCAGCTGACAGGAATTACAGCCCCCATCAGTCCGAAAGCCACACTCTACATTTCCAGATTGTAAACCCTGTTTACTATTTTACATTTATACAGAAGTTGGAACATTGTTATTTCTGTGGTTTCCCCCACCCATCCAAACACTCCAAGAGCTTTCTTTCAAAATCTCAATTGCAAACATCTGTTTCCCTTTTCACTCTGCTCTGAAGGCAATCATATAGAGAGCTGCAGTTCTGCTGTTCTTCAGTCATTCTGAGACAATTAGAATGAGGGTCATCTTCTGCAACGTGCACTTCTTGACAGGATAAAGAAAATGAAACCAAGGATTGAAAAAGTATCCCCAGTCCATGAAAGAACTCAGTTCTTAAAAGCAGTATGCAGAGAAGGCAGAAGACATCTCACCTTCAGCCCTGTCCTACAGACACACTAGCTTGACACCTGCATGATGGGTACACAGCCACTATAGATGCCATACCTTCGCTGCTCCTGCCCACTGTGCCTGAACATAGTTTTCAGCAAGCCAGACTGTATCAAAAAACTTAGTGCAAGTTTAGGGACAAGAAAAGAGAAAGCCTTGGCTCTGAAGTATGTTTTCTGGCAAGCAGGCTTGGAACACGCTGAAATCCCCACAGGCAATTTCAAAAGATGTGCTCCATACTTCCTGTCCAGCACAGACAGGGAACTCTCTCATGCCCAGACCCTCATTTAAGTAAATCCACACTCCACTCAGTACGGGGAAGTCAGATCTGCTTCTCACATTTCACAGTCAACAATTCTGTTGATGAGGCAAAAAAGGGAAAAAAACTATGAGGTTTTTAGCTGTATTCTGTCTTTAGGTTCCTAAGGAAGTAGAAACAAATTTATCTTTGCATTTACAGTATATCAAAACTGACAAGGCTGCTGTATGAATAAGGAAATAGTATATTGATAAACCCACTTCTCAAACAAGAATTGGACTTTTAATACATTTAAATTATTTGCCTTTGCTAGTCATCACATTATGCAGATAGTTATGCTTTTTTTTAAGCACACATTTCAGCAACTAATTTTGATATTTTACTAATGACAGACAACAAAGAACTCACAGCTTTTAAAATGTTCCTTATTGTGCAACTTTTATGTAATTGCCCATTTACTTTGACAAAGAGTGAATTTTATATGAAAAGTTCAAAGGATTTTTAGCCTTGTAAAAATTTAATCTATCCACAAGACTGTTCTTGCAAACATTAAAGCAGATGTTTAAAGCACGAGAGTAGACCTGTTGGGAATGAGTATGCATAATTGCTGCTAACCTCTATACACAGTCCTACAAATAAGTTACATCATAAGATTCACTCTACAAAGAGCTTTGAAATTCTACCCTACTAAGCCAGCAAGAGTTTTTGCTCTCTGAGTCTTGACTAGTTAAAAGTCTGGTCAAGATGAATATAAACTATTATTCAAGCCAATGACTGGGGGCGGGGGTGTGCGGAACCAGGAAAAAAACCCTAACAATAGAACATGAGAAATCTGAAATTGCAGTTCTCACAAAACTCTCTAAACCATTTACTGCATTCAGATGTATTCCCCTACTTGGCATTAACACTTGTTGCATATTTCCAAGTATGCTCATTTGTTTATTTTAAGAACTCCCAAATGGAGCATAAACGGCAAAAATGCATCCCTATGTGCTGTCCAGCGCACTAGGAGGCACTGTCATTCTGTGGCTTCCCTACCACACTTACACCACCCACAGGGAGCAGTATCCCAGTATCAGTCACATTTCCTAGGATTGCTCCCTTTTCCCAGAACACCTCAGCTTCATCCAACACACACTGCATTATATTATACTTTGATTAAATATATGTTGATGTTACATGTTACTGAATGTTTGGACCCAAATCAGTTGATGTGTTGAATGTACTGTGGACTTTATCACTTGTCATGGTCATCAGATTAGCTTAAACTGAGGACTAACTCCAGTAGAGGGTATCTCAACTAAAGTAAAACAGCAGCAGAGGTTGGAAGAGATTTTTTCATAAGGTCCAGCGAAGACAGGTAGATTGCATTGTGACTTCATGGAAAAATTTAGAATATATGCATTCCCCTGAAAACTGTATTTCCTAGAAACAAGAGTTCACCAGATCCACATCTGAAATGTGGAAATATCTGAATCAAAGCTTTTTGAATACTGAAAAGGTCCTAAATTCAAACAAAGACTGTCCATATTCACATATGGGTTTGGACCCCAACCACCCACACTTATTCCACTTTGCTTTACACTTCAGAGTTGTCACAGAGAGAACAAACTTTCAGGTGCAATTAGGCTGGAAGAGGCACTCCAGAAGCGGACTGGACATGGTCCAGCTGCTAATGGGCATTCAGTCCATGGTACCAGGCTGAAGTGACTCCATAGAAAGCCTTCTCTGAAACATGCACTAAAAACATCAGATCCTCAACATGAACCTGTGCAAAAGGCCCACACTACTTGCTAACACGATCACGGAGCAGTTGTAATAGGTTTGGCTTAGGGTAGTAAAAAAGAACCTGTGGTTCTTTCTAGTGTTTCCTGGTATTATGTCCTGAAGCAGTAACTATGTGCAGGAGGTATCCTTTAAACACAGCAACCTTTATGACCTCAGGAATTACAGCTACAGTCTGATGCAACATACTAAAGTTTGTGTTGCAACATGGCAGAGTCTAAAGGTGAGAAATTAAATTCAAAAATACAGTAGAAGTCCTTCTGGTTTCTTTAAGATATTGTGTATAAAGACCCATGCATACCCATAAAATAATCTGGTCCAATTTTTAATCCTCTGTATCTCTTCTTCACACCATCACTACACTGCAGTGACAAAACATTCTTTCCCTTCTCAATATGTCGAAATAAGACTAATCTACACTAATCAAACCAGTGAACTCTTCCAGAGCTGTAGATCCGAAGAACTCTTAAGATATAGATTATGTTCCATACTCTGCTGATACTCAGAGACACTAATAGCAAACAACCTACAAAATTCTTGTGACAATGCAAGAAGGAAGTAACTATATTTGTTGAAGGTTTTTTAATTTAATCTATGAAAGTTGTTGAAAATAATTTATTTATTCAATTTCCAGTCTGAAGGAAAAAAAAAGAAAAATAATCACCCAACCACAGATAATTCTACCATCCACAAAATTTTAGAAGTGAACAACAAATTCTACACTTGCTGAGGGTTTTTATGTTAATCTATTTTTCTCTTCCAATTTTTTTTTCTTAAAGGGGGAGGGGAAAAAAACTCAGACTACTTGACTGTAAAAGGGATAAGAGTTTGGCTTGAACAGCGCATTCCTCCAATGGAATGTCGTAGCTCCGTGATAAATATGTATAAACTTAGCAGTTTCCTCTACTAACAACCATATTTTTATATTAGACTCTAATTTAATGCCATTATTATTAGGTATTTTATTGTCTTCTTGTTTGTGACACATTGTTATTGCACAATACTAGTTTACACCTTGGATAATCCCAGTTTGTGGGTTAATATATTCTATTCAACACTTCAAAAACAGTAAACAAAACCAGCTCAGCTATGCAGCAAAATCTACCAAACCACACAGATGGTTATAAGCTTTTCATTGTGTGGTTTCCATAGCAATCATATTGCAAATCTGGAAGCTACTTGCAAATAAGCAGCTTGTATTTACAAGCCTTTGGGCTGCAGCATGGAACACAACAACATGTGCAGTTATTATTCCGATCACATATTGTTAGAAAAATCATTGGAAGATGTTTTGACCAGTTCAGAAAAAACTACTGCAGTGAACTAATTTTTCATCTATTTCATAATGATGAGCAATCACACACTTGTAATGCACATTCATTATCTTCACATTCATTTGAAAACTCACTGTGGTGTCAGAAGGTCATAAGCATACAAACAAGTCTTGTAAGACAGACCCCTCAAAAAAACACTTGTATTAGTAAACAATCAACTAAAAAAACTCTCATAGTGTCTTTACTATTGTACTTGGCAGGGAGGACAGATGCATGAAAAAAAACAGGTGTGTACATGAACTCTGCTGACACTGAGTATCACAGGTCTACACTGCTTCGCGCATGAAAAAGTAAAAGACATAATGGCATGTTAACACCAAGAGTATTACTCCTGCACACTGCTTTTTTGCTACCAAATAATGATTCTGCACAAATGCAAACAAGAACTTTTGAACCCAAATAAGTGCTTACCGCGGAAAAGAGTCAAGACCTTTTCTCTCACAGATTTATAATTTTATGAATTGACCCACCCCCATAACAGATGGGTTATTTCTCTAATAACAAACATAACTCAACCCAGCTGTATAATTTTTAAAAAATTAGCAAGAACTGGCTTTTTTACAAACAAGAGTATTTGTTTGGAGAAACATTTAATATTTCCAGAGAAGGAGCAATAAACACACAAAATTTAAGAACAAGATTGTTTGTATAATTTGGTCAAACTAACACCTTCTGCTAGCGTTAGTAGCGAGGGCTAGTGATCATCTCAGGTCAAAGGAATGAGTATTAATGCCCTGGTTTATGCAGGGCCAGCAAGTTGCCTTAGCTGAAGACAGTGCTCCCCTACCTTGGGGATGGGGTCCTCTGCAGTACTGTCACCATACATGCCTATACACTTCACCCAAACCTTTACAGTGTTTTAGCCTAAGCAGCTTGATAGCCCAGAAGTCCTTCATGTATTGCTTTATCCTAGGCTTACTTGCCTTGATGTGTATTTATAATGGCAGGGATTTTCGTTTCTGGTGTCTTCTTTTAGACTCCAGATCCACTCACTCTGTATGGAGAGATCTCCAAATTCAATTAGCAAAACTTTAGTTTTGATAATCCTACAATATTCCCAGGGATCTGTCCCTTTCCCCCAGCTCCTCTTGGACACGGCAGATTACTGGAAGATTTACACACAGCTTCTTGACATTTCACCCTGCATTCCCATTAGCAGCCTAGT